TTCATTTATTTAGAAAAATCTATGACTAATGAGACTGTGAAAAAAAATGGCATAGTTAATGAAAAAGTACACTTGCTGTGTGAAAAGGTAGGAGAGTCTAGCAGTTGTAGCCACGCAAAGCCATGATTGATAGAGAAGCGTTCAGCAGCGGTGCGCCTACGGGGAGCACGGTCAGTTCTGGGTCCACATGTGAACCTGGAGGTAACCCCAATAAGAGATTCTCTATCACTGTAAGACAGTAATATTATTTTAAATGTGTGCAAATTTGACATTCTACCCCAAATCAGTTCAATGTTTGTTTTATTAAAAAATGTTTAAAATTCTACATCTGATAAGGGGTTAATATCCAAAATTTATAAAGAATGTATACAACTCGACACCAATAAACAAACAATCCAAATAAAAAATGGACAAAGGACCTGAATAGAAACTTCTCCAAAGAGATTATACAGATGGCCCACGCACATATGAAAAAATTCTCAGTCTCACTAATTGTCAGATAAATGCAAATTAAAACCACAATGAAATATCACATCACACCTGTCAGAACAGCCACCATCAATAAATCAACAAACAAGTGTTTGTGAGGGTGAGGAGAAAAGGGAACCCTCATGCACTGTTGGTGGATGATTGGTGTAGCCACTGTGGAAAACAGTGTGGAGTTACCCCCCCAAAACGGAACTGCCTTATGATCCAGCAATTCCACTTCTGGGAATTTGTCCAAAGAAACCCAAAACATAAATTTGAAATAGTATGTGTACCCCTATGTTCACTGCAGCATTATTCACAACAGCCAAGATTTGGAAGCAGCTCAAGTGTCCATCAGTAAATGAATGGATAAAAAACCAGTGGTACCTTTACCCAATGCAGTACTACTTGGCAATTAAAAAAACAGGAAATCTTACCTTTTGTGACAGCATGGATGGACCTGGAAAGTATTATGTTAAGTGAAATAAGCCAGTCAGAGAAAAATAACTACCATAAGATTTTACTTATTCATGAAGTCTAATGAACAAAATAAACTAACAAACAAAATAGAAACAGGCTCATGGATATAGAGAACAGACTGACAGCTGTCAGATGGGCAGGTGATGGAGGGCTTGGTGAAAAAGGTGAAGAGATTAAACAGAACAAAACAAAACAGAAACCCTCATAGACACAGACAACAGTATGGTGATTACCAGAGGGAAAGAGGGCATGGGGGAGGTAGAAGATCTACAGGGAAGATAAACGGAGATGGAAGGAGATTGACTTGGGGTGGTAAACACACAAAACAATATACAGATGACGTACTGTAGAATTGTATACCTGAAACCTGTATATGAGGGTAGGCCCCCCCAAAATCCTGGAATTATTTTCTGGAGGGCAGGTCCCTTGTAGTAGAGGCTCCCCCCGCTAGGTGAGCATTCTGGGAACCCATCTGTTTCAGTGTACCAGCTGGCACTGTTGTGAGAGGCTGCGTTCAGCTTCAGTGAATTCTTTTTGAAGATCCTTTCAACATGTTTGCCCATTTCATGATGGGTCATTTACGAGCTCTCCTGCCCACACTGCACTGAGTGTTCAGCAGTTTTTGAACATAAATAGCATGACCCCATACCCCACCCTCCCTATTTGCCCAGTCTTGCCCCAAGCAAATTTTTGTTTTCTCCAGTGAAAAAGTACTCAAAGGGAAATATCTTGCCAATGTGGAATAGGTAAAACAAACAAAAAATGGCAGAAACACTGAAAGGCATCAAAATCAATGAATTCTAAACAGCTTTGAGCAGTGGAAAAAATGCAGTAGGTATATTACATCACATGGAGAGTACTTTGAAGGTGACTGAAGTTTAAACATGCAAGAAAAAACACACAGTGTTTTATAAATAAATTCCAGGTTTTTGGTGTCCCCTCTCATAATTTTATTTAGTAATGTCACCCCGAATTCAATAAAAAATAAATAAAAATTAAAAACAAAATTATTTACCATTAATTAAAATTGACTCTTAAGGAAGATGCACCATATTTATTAACATCTTTAAACACTCCCGGGACACTGGCATGTACCCTTCAAGCATTTCCACACTTTGAGAAGCACTAGGTGCTAGGACATTGCAGCCTAGGCCGTGGGATTTTTCTTAGAATTTAAGAGAATTCCTCCACATGTCTCCCTTTTACTTTGCTATTCAATACATGTAAACTCTTGAAGTCCTTTTACTTAGTTCTGGTGAAATTGTTAAAATGTAGCTCTAAGCACCTAATTGGTAGCATGTGCACAGTTAAGATGATAGAGGGACATAAAATCAGCTTCCTCACACAGAGGTTTTCTGTTTGAGGAGAAGGATCTGTCCGAGGCGAGAATTACCTACCCACTTCCTCTTTAAATCTGGTTAACACTAGAAACTGAACTAAGAAGTCCTAAAACTTAATGCCCTTTTTTTTTTTTTTTTGAGCATTTAGAAAATATGATCAAACAGCGAGCTGGTCATGCTCAGGTATAAGTACAAGAAGTGACTTATTTATACATTCAAATTTCAAAACATTTCTAAGGCCTACCATGTGTGCTGTTAAAAGTTTTTAATTTTTGTTAGATAATCCCCTTTAAAGTGACATTATGATTTATTGCCACTAATCAAGATTCTGATTCCTCATAGACTTCTTGTTTGTATCTGTTTTTGTTCTTTGTTACATAAATATGAGGTTTATATATAAAATTCTGACTGTGTAATATAGGGCTAATGAGTCACAGATGGAAGGATGCTGGCACATTACCATCTAATAACATTTTAAACTCATATTCCATAGTAAAACAAAAGCAAATTGTACACATCTGTTTTCCAACTTGTAGCATTTCTGAATTTGTGTAGTCTATGCCTAAAGGACTTTTACTTAGGGAGAAGAAAAAGAGGAGAACTAGTCACCCTAAAACTACCCAGCTTTTAGCCTTACCAGATAGGATTTGGCCAAAGGGATGCAATTTCTTCTGCTTGGCTTCCTGAGAAGCCCCAGCTCTAAAGAATGAAAATCAAAGGCATTAGAGTTGAGAGGAAGTCTCATACTACAAGCATCATTTCATTGGTTTTGTTAAAAAGAAAAACATATCCCTAATAAGGAGGAAATAAAAGAGAAAATGTACCCAAACTAGTAAAATTTAAAAACTAAAAATATTCTGGCCTTTCCTAAAAATATTCTCAAAATAGATTTGGGTGGGAAGAGGAGAAGGACAGTGAGGGGGAGAGAACGTAGGAAGGCAGCACATATTTGCCGTGGTTGTTGTTTATTTTATTTGCATACTGAACAGGTCCTATGTGAAAAAATGGGATAAAAGGCTCCAATATCGAATGTTGTTGGGATAAGAAGTAGAACAAAAGCAAAACTTCCCTCTCAGACCTACCCAATTGATAATGCCTGCAGGGACAAGTTAGTGCAGTTAGTGAAGTACAGGGCTCTCAACGGTCTCTCCCCCGCGCCTCTTGTTTAAGGAATTCAAAACCACTTTTCTGCTCCAAGGGGTTGTGTGAACTGTCAAGTTCTTTTGCAAAAGTTATGTGACAGAAGTAATCACTACAGAGTGTGACCATAACGCCCCCTGACATGAAGTGCGCATGTTATAAGAGACAGATTTCCATCCACCACCTCTGCAGGAATCCCTGCAGCAGGAGAGACCTGAGAATCACCAGATGATTGGAGAGGGAAATTTTGATACGTGGGTGGTAACGCTATATTTTGTGAGGCATACGACATTTATCCTGAGGAATACTGCTGATGGAACTGCAAGATTCTGTTCACCCTTGTCCAAAAAAAGAATTAATACACGTATTGCATGTCCAGAGTGGTAGAGCAAACAGAATATCAGTAGAGGGAAATTCAAGTGTTGTTTTCATAACAGTGTCTGTAGTTATCTCCGTTTTGTGCTAACATTTTGTACATAAGATTTCAGACATGTAAAGAGTGTACACACGGATCCATTGTACCTGCTGCAAGGAGCAGTTACAAGGAGTTCTCATTCTGGCCATTCCCTTTAAGGAATGCTTCACTTGGGAGCCCTGTGTGTCTGATTTTGTTTATGGTATGTCCAAGAAGGCAAGAATTAGAGCTGGGGCAGGGTGCTACTAGGTACATGCTTGTTTTGTTTGTCCAACAGTGAAATGTCTGTGTGACGTTTTGTGTCGTGTTTTGGTGCTGTGCCCTGTCCACAGGGTCTGCCAGGCTTCCCCACAGTTGCTGCCCTGCACAGTAATCAGATCCTCACCGTCAAGGTTTGTGCTTGGCATCCATGCCCTCCGTCAGAGCCTGCAATCAGCATAAGAGTGAGCAAGAACTGCTAAACTGGCCTGCCGAGTCCTGCTGCGCTCCCCTTCATCTGACATAGCAGGTTCTTGGGTTCCTGTGGCCTCACCTACATCAATGCGGTCAAACAGATATCAAGAAGGAGAATCTTGAGCATTTAAGACAGGAGGATACTGGAGTTGAGCAAGCACAGTGAATAGAGGCAGGCACAATATCTGGGACTGGGCCACGCCTCGATGGTTGAATGTGCATGCATTGCAAAGCTCTATGATATTTTTGAGTCAGTTAAACGATTCTAAGTACTCTGGACTTCGGCATCAATAAAATGGCAGTCGCGTTCGTGCCACATTATGCTGGTTGACAAGTCTGACGGAAATTGAACTGGCACTTTGTCTGTGGACTTTCTGCTCAGAGTGCAGAATGCAGATGACTCAAGCTTACCTGCTTCTCGAGCATACGACATGAGAAAGGCCCAACACCTGGGCAAAATGGTGGGATACGAAAAAATCCATTTCTAACTAAAAACCTGGTCTCCCCATCCTGTTTTAGGGTTATATTTCTTTCACGGAAAGCCAGAGGGCCTGTTAGCAGACACAAGTGCCAGTTCTGTTTTATTTAATGGTCATTTTAATTCTAATGTGTATATCTTTATTTCTTTCTTGGGGCCTTCTGATGTCTATTCTTCAACTCTCTCATCTCTGAACTTCAACCTTTGACCTCACCTGACTGATCAGATGGTGTTTCCTAAAATCAATCATGGGTTTCTCTCTGCTGATCAGCAGCTCATTAAACGCCGCCTGATTAAGGTAGTGCTTATTCTTGCTCAAGTCTGATTTCTTCTTTGCATTCAGTTATTGCTCTGTATACTGCTGCTTTGCCATTTATCTCTCATGGTGAGGGCGGAGTGGGAGGGTATTTATTTAGAAATACCTTAAAACAAAATTATGTTTAGTGAGCTGCATTTGTTTGAAATGCATGTAAAAGTAGCAAGATAAAAGGTATAGAGAGCCTAATTTTTTCTTAAATAAGAAAAAGAAAGTTTAAGTTATATCCAGTAATAGACCCAGTTTCCAAGGTCTCTGGCTTGGGTAATGTATAAATGATTATATAGCATGACAATAGCCTAGTATGCTTAATTTTATAGGTTATGAAAAAGAAAACACATTGTCCAACTTCAAATGCAGCCATTTTATTAAACAAGGTGGATATAACTGATGCAGCATTGCCATGAATAAAGTTACGCAAAGGTTTTATACCGGCTTGAAATATAGTGAAAACAGACACGCCATTTCCAAGAGCCGAGAGCAGGGCTGGTTCCCGAGCTGCTGTGATTTTAATAGCTGCACTCAGCTCACCCAGCATGAATATTTATTTGATCCCTGCTGGCAGGCAAATTGCCTACATGCTTCATGTTTCTGGTTGCTCTGGTTCTTTCATAGTGTGAATGTGAATTAGACAATGCAAATTTGAAGTGTTTGAAAAGATGACCTGGGTCTTTATCTTCTGTGGTCATGGTTGGTCTGTCCCCATCTCCATTGTAGGGTGATCAAGGACAAGCTGGGCCCCCAGGCCCTCCAGGACCTCCAGGCCCAAGAGGGCCTCCTGGGGACACAGGGAAAGATGGCCCCCGTGGAATGCCAGGAGAGCCCGTGAGTTGCTTTTTGGATCACTTGTTCTCATAGGTTTTGTTTCGTTTCATGGGCTGAGAATTGGGATGGAGTGGGGTTGGGAGGGGCCGTAGGATAAGCGGGGCAAGTGAGTGGAGCGGGTTGATGGAAGGGGGATGTTGGGCAGTCCCCAGGCAGAAAGGGCCGTGCCAGTTGGATTCTGCTTTACCACTCAGTCCCCGGGGACCCTGTGCAAACCACAAAGACCTGGGGACAGCAGCTAAGCTGGTTCCAGGTAAGCCTCCAGAAGTCCGACTGGCGAAGCCGGTTGCCAATTGTGTCCTGATTCCACAGAGTTCATCAACGCCTGTGGTTTAAATGGGAGACCAGCCTGAAAAACCAGGTGGAGGATTAGACACATTTTCTACAAGATCAATAGCAGAGAAATTTATACAATTTATAGAAAGTAAAGAGTTTAAATCTCTCTGATATTGAATCCCTTATAAATAACTTCACCAAAATAAATTGCAGATAAAACAATAAAATTAATAGTTAAAATGTCAAAGTAATACGGAGACTACTTACCCACAATTTTTAAAAAATTGAAAATAAAAACAACCAAAAAGAAAAAGTGAAAATCAGCCATCGTCAGTGTTTTAGTATATTTTATTTTTATAATCCTATATTATGTATTTTTCTCAAAGAATGATTCTGTTTGTAAAAATATAAGGGGCTTTAAAACTTTTCTTAGACAACCTTCTATAAGCCCCATTTCCCTTTCTGAAAGCTGTTGTTAATTTGTCATATGAAATGAGGAATTAATTTGCAACATATGATATAGGACTGCTTTAACTGAATCATCAGAGAGAGTGGTTTCATCCAAAATTGTCTAATGTTTCCCTTTTTCTTGGGTGGACATCTCAAAAGATAGAAGCTGCAACTTTAGGGTTATTTAAAGCTCTCCAATAGATTGCTGATTTCTGACAAAGATACAATGAGTATCTCTCAGAGAAAAGCAGTCAAAACCACGTCAATGGTGCAGAATCAGTCAGATCATTGGGTATTGCATACTATACAGAAAATTTAAAGCATAAATTACATTCAAAAAACAAGACAAAGTTAGGGTATGACAAACTGTAAACCATCCAAACATTAGGTCATCCTTTAAGTGAGTGTAGTTTACTCATCTAAGTAAGAAATGGAGCTTTTTATACAAAGGTATGAACATATTTTAAATTCCACAAAATTTGAACTGGATTCAAAGTCTCAGAGTTAATTTTTATATACTATCATAAACACTGAAAAAAAGATTTTATAAAAATCTTTTATAAATTGAGAAGTGCTTATTTTTAAAGTCCAACAACATCTCTCTCTCTCTTTCTCTCTACACATATATATAGGCATTCCAAGCATGTTTTTCAAAAAAGTACCTGTAACCAATGACTGCCATTATACTAGTATAATGAAACATGATAAGGAATTCTGTATGAATTTGAGTATTTGAAAGTTATGAAGTAGTATAATGTGGCAGAAAATTTTATGTTAATGCATGCTGTTGATTTTAATTAAGCATGTTACTTCAGCCATTATTAATCCAGGATAATTAAAATTCAAAATCTATCTCTGCTCCTTTTCTTATTTAATCCCTGCCTTAAGAGCAATTGTCTCTTTCTCGCCTATATATGGAGTTCTGAATTCTCATAAAGAGGACCGTGTCATCATCAATAAGACATAATAATAAATGAGATATTACTATAAATTACAATTAAACACTTTTATAGGATCATTTAATGACATAATACTAATTTTATTTAGAATATATTCTTGTTATAATCTTAAATCTCTAGTATAATCTAGGCTCATTTTATTAAATCCTAAAATATTTATAAAGTACAGTTGAAGAAAGAATATTGGCCTTTTTTTATTGCATTGTGTTTGCATTTCTCTATTTAGCCTGAAAAGTATATTTGACACTCATGCACCCCAATGGGTATTGTGAAAAAGAAAAAAAATGTTGAAATTGATTTTTAATGTTTATAGCATTAATAAAATTATCACTATTCTTTTTTAAGGGCGAACCAGGGAACCCAGGAAAACAAGGCATAATGGCAAGTATTTCAATTTATCCTTTACTTTAAATTCTATAAATGGTCATAAAATTTATATTAAAAACTGTATTTATATACTTAAGTATTTATATACTTAAAACTGCTGTCAAGATTATATGTAACAGATATACCTGTTGTGCGACCTATAACAAAAAGAGTGAAAATTAGTCGAAGTTTAAAAGTAATCTGGCCTATTATATGGTGAAGATCACAAGACAACACATCTATGGAACTGACAGGAAAAAAAGGGAGAGTCTAGGCAGGAAGAGTGACAGAGACACTTAGCAAGGGCACAGGAGAGAATCTGCTTTAAGCAGATCTGCTGTCAGGGAAATTAAATTCAGCGACACACCAGATAGCATAAATAAAATGCGTTTTGAAAAGATCTGTGTGACTAACTATGAATTAGTATAGTAAACCTTCCATAGTAATTCAAGGAGTTTTTTGTTGAAGGGCTTCACCTGGAGAGAAACGGTTGTGTCTTCTTGATCTGTGTCATTAAAAAAGATCATAAAATGATTCCACATGGGTTCACCCGTAGGCGCTAGAGGCAGCGCCTCATGATTGTTTGTCCTCTGCCAGTGAGAGAAGCTGGGGCGGCTTGCTGAGCCCTGCAGAGCAGAAGCCCTTCAACCCACCTCTTCCTGCCTCCGTTCCCTGTCACTGGAGCCTTCTGTCTGACCTATTTAATGACATAAACAGTATTTGGAAATACTGGGTGACAATCTAATAACTCAAATGCCACGGCACAGCTGCATATCACTGCATTGTTCTGGATGCAGTGATCACAATAAGCTTGATCGTGCCCTTTCTACAGACCATGTGACAGGCAGCGTGCAGGTGCCTGTTCAGGGTATAAAATGTATTTGTGAAAAATAATTAGCTAAGTTCTAGTGAAACTGAAGTACAGAAATGGGATGGTTGGTCAATAATTAAAATAAATGGGTAATTAGGTTAAAGGTCAAAGTCTTATGGCTGCACAGGACGCCTGCAATAGCCCTCCTGGGAAGAACTCAGCATACTGTAGTCAGAGCTGTAGTGTAGCTGACTTCGAAACATCACTGGTGAACTGAAAGCACCCTGGGCTGAATCTGACCCTTCGCCTGGAAATCCTCTGCTCCTCACCTATAATATCAGGATGGGTATTTGATACCGATAATTTGGTGTAAGGGAGGAGATATTATATTGGATTATTTTTAAAGAGAACAAAATGAAACAGCAAGAAAGGACCATATATAAAAATTAAACAAAACATTTGTCATCAGTGGTAACTTTGCATACGAGAGCAGCATTAGCTGTCAGGGTTATGGGGTCACAGGAGGTGAAGGATTCTTGGAAAACTACAATATAAATTTTGAAATTGCTTTAGGCAATTGAATGCACCTGTGATTCCTGGATAATGGTCAAAATTCCTCCCAGGCATTCTTACACTGAAGACTCCTGGGGACTCTTAAGAGCCCTCGTTTGTTCCCAGGTATGCGCATCCCACTGAGATTATTGTTCCCATTGGCTTTCTACCACAATGTCCAGTGCAGTATCCTAATATACAAAGTTCTAAAATAAAAGTGGACTTCTAAACTTATAATCTTATCTTCCTCAAGTTCATATATTCCCTCTAGAATATACTATGTGAATAACAATTTAATCCCATTTCCCTACAATTCCTAGCTTAATATCATTAAGCATAAACGCTGTACCTGGCCTTAACTGTTATTATCTTAGTGTGCTCCAATTTCCCATTGCTTACAGCAACTTTTGAGATTAAGATAATCCTGGGTATTCTTTCTGTGAACTTTTTCTTCTGTCTTTAAAGTTTTCAGATTTACTTTATATTCTCATTTTTAAAAATACAGCTAAGAAACGGTTAAATCACAAATGTTCAAAGGATATGTGTGATGTAATGATCTGAAGTACATTGTACTGTCTTTTAAGGTGTAAAATAAAAAACCCCCACAAAACCCTTCTATACTATATATAAGGAGAAGTAGACAAATCTTAAGTCTAGATCTCAGCGAATTTTCATGGGTCAAGAAATATAATGTTATCATATCCAAGAAACCCTCCTTCAGCCCCCAGTTGCCGCCCCTTCTTCCCCAAGTTTACCAGTGTTTCGGCTTCTGTCACCGTAGATTAGTTTTGCCTGCCTTTGAATTTTACACTAATAGAATCATACAGCATGTACACTTTTGTGTCTGGCTTCTTTTGTTCAACATTCTATTTGTGAGATCATCCACTTCTGTTTTAATAGACTTCACAGCTGGTTAAGAAAAATAGGAGGAAGAACCTTACTTCCTTGAGTACTCCGTTAAAGCTACATCAACTCAAATAGCAGTAAATGAATGAGTGGTCTGTCTGACCTTGGGCAAGTCACTTAACCTTTCAATGTCTCATCTGTAAAGAAATGATAATAATGCCATCTCTGCCTCCCTTTTAAAGTCGCCAAAGACAAATGCAATAAATTAGGGGAAAGCGCTTTAAAATGTGTAATGAAGAAGCATATGAGTATGTTATTATTATTATCACTCAGTTGTTTCCTCTAGAGTAAATTACAGGTGAGTGTGGATTTATATAACAGATGCTTTCCTGTAAAGTTCTGTATGAATCATATTTTCATAAACCAACATATCTGAAATGTGATGAGGAATTTTGTTATTTAAAACAATCCTATTCAGTCTTTTTATAAAGCAATATAATCTCTTCTTCTTCCCAGCAAACTGAATTTTTATATATTATTTGCTTAAGGTGAAATATTTCTATGACTTAAAAAAAGTCTATCATTTCTTAAAATTACTATTTATGTTTCTTAAGTTAAACAGCACCTGTATATGTTAACCAATCTCAAAGAGAGAAGAAGGATACTAGAAACATAATAGTTGTTTTCATGAGGAGAAAAATTTCCTTAGAAAGCTTTTCTTTTAATAGTGTGTGTATGTGTGTATGTTTGTGTGTGTTTTGACTCAAAGTCTGGTAGGCAGAAAAGTACATTGCACCAGTTGTTCTGGCCTCAAAAGTACTTGGGAGTATATGACTATAATCTGTGATCCTTTTTACTGGCCTATAATGTGGACAAATTCCCATTTAATGTATCTCACTGGGTTATGGTGAGAAGCGAGTAAAATAGTAATAATATGAAAATGCTTTATGAACTACAAAAATTTCTATAAATGAGAAGTATTGACAGTTAAAAACAAAAGTCCAGTGGTACAACTTGACATATAGACCAACTCTAAGAAACGTAAGGGCTAAGAAGAGTGTGGTTATAGCCATCAGTGAATTTGCAGATTCCGTGACGATAGTGCAACTTAATCCTTTGGTCCCTGTGTATTGTCATCATGCTTTTGGCCTTCTCCTATGTATCACCATTTTACATGATCAACTTTCCTTGACATGCTCCTGTTCATCCATTAGCTAAAATAAGGGAAGATAATAAATACTGCTGCTCTCATGTTTTCCACAAAATCCACTGCATTTCTTGGTTTGCATTGTACAGAAGCATTTGCTTAAATGAGAGTCTTAAGAAGCACTGGAGGATTCTTAAAAACGTAAAATGTTCCTGATGATGAAATGAAAAAACTAGGAACAATTTAAAATTAGCTCTTACAAAACTGTTTATGAGTGTGTCAGGTGGGGAGTTTGTTTTCCTAATCCAGGATATATATTTTATATTACAAAAATAATCATCTGAAGATTAACAGCTTCTCTGATACAATAAAGGAAGCCTGCTGCTCAGGCAGTTCCACATTTCTTTAATCCTGCTGTGCATCTATTCTGTAAACATGACCTTCAGGTTTTCCAAGAAGCTCAGGATGAGATTTTAAAAGGCATACTCTTGAGCTAAAATAAATTGGACTCCATCTAAATAGAGAGGGAACTGCTCTAGCTCGTAAGACTAAACCCGGCATCAAAGCAAGGACTGACCACAGTTGGAAGTGCTAAAGTTCTGAACCTCAGCATGAGTGATCTTTATTTTTCAGGGCTTTAGAAATTTAAATGTTTATTAGAATAGTATTTTTGAAGGTAACTTCCTTTTGATATTTTCACTGTTTTTTTTTGACAAATATAAAGGAAGTTCTCAAAAGCATAAAACGTAGATGGTGTACATGCACACACACCAACTAGTCCTGTTTTCTTGGAAATTATTTTTTGGTCCAACATGTCTATATCCAAGGTTCCATAGACCAAATTACTGTCTCTACTCTGCAACTCTTTCTTCATTCTTCTCCCTTACCCAAAATATATACAGACTCCATAGCATATCCATTCATCTCTTTCTGAATTGTAAGAGTACTTAAAATGTCATTCAGTAGGCCCTGATGGTGTCTGAGAATTCAAAATGCAGAAAAATTTTACTGTCCTTGTTCCTTAACGTGAAATTGGAACTGTTTCAAAGAGGTTAAAGATATTTTTAGTTTATTTTAATTTTGCCTATGACCACATTTAATAAATTTGGGTCAAGTGAATATATATATATATGTATATATATATAATGCTCTTTAGTTAGTTAATAACATAAGCATAAATAACTCTGCTTCATTTAAAATAAAATTGAACTAGCAAATATGTGAAGATTTACTCTGAATATATTCAGTGATAATGATAAGACTCGTCATTCCAGTTCATTGTATTTGCTCTGCCAGCCCCCTTGGTCAGCAGGATGGCAGACATCGGAGAAGACAACTGCAGGCTTCTCTTTCATGTTAACCTGGCAAAGAAAGCAAAGCCTCAAACCTTCAAATCACAAATCTCAAAAGTGGCCGAAATAATCTCAGCATATTCAGTAATTAGACTAGATGTTCACGGTGATATCTTGTTTGGTAAAAACTGTGTGCTTCAGTTGTGCACACTGCCTGCTGGAATGACTTAGCCACTGTTCTAATGCTTTATTATCCTCACTTAATCTGACTGTCCATGAAGTGGTTGTAAATGCCACACCAACAAGCCACTTCCCACCTCCTTGGTGCCTTTGTCCAAAGCCTGTAGTGCTTGGTTTTCCAAATGGGCCAAAAGAAAGTAAACAAGCAATGCCTTCTCCTTCTGGTTGTGTCCCACTACCTCATCCAGTTGCCCAGCTTAAGGGAACTCACTCTGTGTGGATTCCTGTGTGCCTAGACTTCTGTAAAGGTGTCTAAAGGTCACTTTAGCATGGTACTAGATGGGAACATTTGACTTGGCTTTAAAACTGGCTTGGTCCTCCTAGAAACCAAATGTCACCTTTTGATGGAACATTTTCAGTGGCGGTTTAAGAATGCAATCAAGAAACATAAGTATGAAAAAATAGTCTTGAAGGCTGAAGAGATAGCTGCCTGTATTCTTCTCATGTTCATTTTGTTTTTCTTAACTCTAGACTGTGAATCAGCTCTATATTTAACTATCTTGCACTGTTCCTGTTAATGGTCTAAAAGCTCTATCCTAATGGGTGAATTAAGATAGCTAAGGCTTAGATTCTTCATCTATAAAAGTGGTGAGAATAAATGATCTCTGAATCCACTTCCAGCTCTAAAATCCTGTCATCCTACTATGTTTTCATTATTAATGGATAGACACACATTATATAGTTATTTATTCATGTTATATATGCATATCTGCAGGATTCTGAAATATTTAAATGCAGTGAACAACAATCATATATTAAGTTTTAATAGAAGGAACCCTTAAAAATCATCTCCTTCAAACCTATAAACTTCCCAGCTATCCTTTATTCTAACTTTAGAATTCAACCTACTGTAGCTAAACTGAAGCAAAATATGTCACACTTGTATGGGTATATTAATGAAATTATAATTAATCTCTTTTTACCAAATTCTCATATCTTATCATTAGATTAAGAAGAAACTTCAAAATAAAGTTGGATCCATTTAAGGCCTGAGCCTTACACCTGCCATTTAAGGGCAAATGTACAAATTTTAGGGCAAGCATATAAATAGAAACCCTTATACAATGTGTCTAAATATCAAACAGGTATAAACCAAACCAATAAACTATTAAGCAAGTACATTCTATCCTCTAACCTTCATGATATATCCTCATAATGACTTGGAAAGTGCAAATGCAGAATTGTTGCCCTCCTTGGAGATCCAGGCAGGATGTGATAGATTTCTGCATGAGGAGAGCTGCAACTAGGTCCCAGCTCCTGGCCCTGGCCTGCTGCCTTTCCCTCCTGCACCTCCCTCCATCCCTTAACTGGATGAGACTCGAGCTCTCACTTGTGGATATTCTGGGGTGCACACAAGCTCAAACTCCAGCCACACACCTCAGAATACTACCTCTTTGCCCTTTGCTCCAGTTTATTATTGTGTGCACCAGTGGTGTGGTTTGCCTCCAGAAAAACAGACCTGACAAAAAGGTAACTCATAGTCTTTGAAGTGAACTTCAGTCACTGGGGTGGAGAACTCCAGGGTTCTTAGCACCCAAAGCACAGTCTAAGGTCAGGAGTTCAGCCACCACATGGAAAGGAGTGAGCCAGAAAAGAGCTCTCTAAAGCTTGGCCCCAAAGCCGGAGCCCTCTTGCCCAGGGATGAGGGAAGTACAGAGTCTACGTGTCTGAATGGAGTTAAAAAAACGGACTTCTGCTTTAGTTACCTCCTTTGAGAAAACATCAAACACACTCATTCACACAGTCACAATACCCCAAGCTAAGTTAGAAGCTGTTTTCTCTTCTCCTCCACCGCATTTATCATGTCATACAATAATTGCGCTTGGTACTTTGCATATTCAGTAAACTGAATGATTGAATCACATGAATCAATGAATTAATAAATCAGTGACTGATACAAAGTTATACTTTTCTTCCAACCAATGTCTTTGCATGTCAAGAGTAAGATTAAACAGGATAAATCCAACAGAATTACTACAATACTACTATTTTTCCTGCACCTTCTTATATTCATTCATGTATTATAGATGTTTTGGAGTATATGCATGTTCATGAATGTGCATGGTGTAACAAAAAGACTGATTCTCATGAGGATGTGCTACTTGAATCAATTTCTAGTCACACTATGTGGCTATTTTTAAAGTAGAATGAGAAAGACATAGAAGAAATCTTAGGAATGACCTAGTTTATCACTTTACAGATAAAGAAGCAGCATCAGAATGAATAAATAACTTGACCACGGTCACAAAGCAGTTAGTAGCAGAAAGAGGCTAGAATCTAGTCCACCTGGTTGCAGCCTTGCGTGTTTTACACTCCAGATCGGCTAGATCTGCATTTCCAGTGCAGTAGCCACTAGCCACATGTGGCTGTTTACATTTAAATTAATTCAATTATTTTTTGAATGCCAGCAGAAACTCCCATAAAGAATGCTTTTAGAGCAGCAATGAAATGACACTTCCCAGCAAAAGCTTTGTAAAGAACATAAACCAAAACCCAAAAAATAAAATAAAATAAATTAATTCAGATTAAATACAATTTATTTTTATTCTTTATTTTTTAATTTTTTTTTATTTTTAAATCATGTTTACTTTATGACAGTTGTCTCATCTTTCCCTCTTTGGCCTCTTCCACCCATCCCACCCCTGCCCCCCTCTCCCACAGTCAGTTCCCACTCTGCTGTCCATGTCCGTGGGTCATTCATTCATGTTCTTTCTCTAGTCCGATCCTCTTCTTTCCACCATTGTTCTCCTTCCCCATCCCCTCTGGTCCCTTTCTGAGTGCTCCGTGTTTCCATGCCTGTAATTTATTTTTTTTTGTTAGTTTATTTCGTTGAATAGATTGCACTTATAAGTGAGATCATATGGTTTTTGTCTTTCACCGGTGGGCTTATTTCACTTAGCATAATATTCTCTGGTTCCATCCATGTTGTCACAAAAGGTAGGAGTTTCTTCTTTCTTTCTTTCTTTTTCCTTAATGCAGATTGATTTGATTTTTTAAATGTCAAAATCCATTATAAAATATTAAAAAATTCTAATCCATTATAAAGTCTCAGCAATCAAAACAACATGAAACCACCACAGAAATAATCAAGTAGATCAATGAAATAAAATGAGCATTCTAGAAACAAATGTATATATCTAACAATGTAATATATGATTAAATTGATACTTCAAATCAATGGGGAAAATAATGCTTATTCAGCAAATAAGGTGTATGGACCACTATTACTTGAAATAAACAAATATAGAGCTCTATTTCACACATTATACAAGAAATATTCAGGTGAGTTAAAAATCAATATGTAAAATCTAAGAAGTTTTAGGAGAAAATACAAACTAATATTTTTCTTACTCTGAAGTAAAATATTCAAACCCAGAATCTATAAAGTAAAATATTGACAATATGACTATATTAAAAATTTAAGACTATATAGTAATATACATATAAAAAAAGTTAAAGGACAAGTGATAGAATAGGAAAGTATTTGCAACACATCTAAAAAAGGGTGAATTGTTGACACTTGCTGCTGTCCCCGTCACTGTGCAATCTCTCGGCTTCTTACCGCTGCTGTATTGCCAAGATGTTGCTTTCTAACAAGCTCACTCTGGACAAGCTGAACATGAAAGGGAAGCGGGTCATCATGAGAGTGGACTTCAATGTTCCTATGAAGAACAACCAGATAACGAACAACCAGAGGATCAAGGCAGCCATCCCAGGCATCAAGTTCTGCTTGGACAACGGAGCCAAGTCCGTTGTTCTCATGAGCCACCTGGGTCGGCCCGATGGTGTCCCCATGCCTGACAAGTACTCCTTGCAGCTGGTTGCTGTAGAGCTGAAATCTCTGCTGGGCAAGGATGTTTTGTTCTTGAAGGACTCCATGGACCCCAAAGTGGAGAAAGCTTGTGCCAACCCAGCTGCTCGGCCTGTCATCTTGCTGAAGAACCTTCTCTTTCATGTGGAGGAAGAAGGGAAGGGAAAAGACGCTTCCAGGAACAAGGTTAAAGCCGAGCCAGCTAAAATAGAAGCTTTCCAAGCCTCACTTTCGAAGCTGGGGGATGTCTATGTCAATGATGCGTTTGGCACTGCTCACCGAGCCCACAGCTCTATGGTGGGAGTCAATCTGCCGCAGAAAGCTGGAGGTTTTCTGATGAAGAAGGAGCTGAACTACTTTACCAAGGCCTTGGAAAGCCCAGAGCGACCCTTCCTTGCCATCCTGGGCAGAGCTAAAGTTGCAGACAAGATCCAGCTGATCAATAACATGTTGGACAAAGTCAATGAGATGATTATTGGTGGTGGAATGGCCTTTATCTTCCTTAAGGTGCTCAACAACATGGAGATTGGCACTTCTCTGTTGGATGAAGAAGGAGCCAAGATCGTCAAAGATCTGATGTCCAAAGCTGAGAAGAACGGTGTGAAGATTACCGTGCCGGTTGACTTTGTCACTGCTGACAAGTTTGATGAGAACGCTAAGACTGGCCAAGCCACCATAGCCTCTGGCATACCCGCCGGCTGGATGGGCTTGGACTGCGGTCCTGAGAGCGGCAAGAAGTACACCGAGGCTGTCGGCAGGGCCAAGCAGATTGTGTGGAACGGACCTGTGGGTGTATTTGAATGGGAAGCTTTGACCGAGGGACCAAAGCCCTCATGGACGAGGTGGTGAAAACCTCTTCCAGGGGCTGCATCACCATCTTAGGTGCCAAATGGAACACAGAGGGCAAAGTCAGCCATGTCAGCACTGGAGGTGGTGCCAGTTTGGAGCTCCTGAAAGGTAAAGTCCTTCCTGGGGTGGATGCCCTCAGCAATGTTTAGTACTTTTCCTGCCTTTTGGTTCCTGTGTGCATCCCCTAACTCTACTTAGTGCTTTCCATATCTCTACTTGGTATTAGCTAAAATCTTCCCACATGTCAAGATTCAGCTAGTGGCCAAGAGATGCAGCCCAAGAACACTTAACGCAGTTGCACAGCAACCTGTCAGCTCATCTTTACTGCACCCTGGATTTGACTACATTCTTCAGTCTTCAGAAACATTTGAGCTTCTTAGTGGCTAAACCACTGTGCATTCTAGAGTGCATATATTTATATTTTGCCTGTTAAACTGTTTGCTTAATTCTCTTCTTGGAGTAGCTTACTCCGATTAGCGGTGTCATTGTTTTGCCACTCAGCATGAAAACAGGGTAAAACTCCAGTTGCAGGGAGGGAGGGAGATGAAGTTGGAGATCTATGAAATAAATAATAGAAGTATTCATTGAAACTGGAAAAAAATAAAATAAAAAAATAAAAAGGGTGAATTGTTTGTTTTGGAGGGGCAAAAATCCTACAAACATAATCAAAAAACTGGATAAAGAATACCAAAAAGTCATTTAAAGCTTTTTAAACATAATAGAAATAGGCAAGAAATATATAAAAACAGGTTTAGTTTCAACAAATAATAAAGGAACACTTAAAATAGCTCATCATTGTCACAATCAGATTAATAAATATTAAAAATATTGGTAATATCAAGTATTGGTGACTGAAAGGAACTGGCTATTCATAGACTCTTTATCTTCTTAAAGCAGTCCCTTTAGCATATTTTGCAGTGCTGGTTTGGTGGAGGTGTATTCTTTTAGCCTTCTTTTGTCTGGGAAACTCCTTATTTCACCTTCCATTTTAATCAAGAGCCTTGCTGGGTAGAGAGCAGTCTTGGTTGCAGGCCTCTGTTTTTCATGACTTGGAATATTTCTTGCCATTCCCTTCTGGCGTGTAGTATTTTTGTTGAGAAGTCAGCTGCTAGCCATATGAGGGTTCCCTTATTTGTTACTACCTCTTTCTCCCTTGCTTCCTTTAGGATTCTCTGTTTGTCTTTGATATTTGCCATTTTAATTATGATGCATCTTGGAGTGGGCCTCATCGAGTTCCTCTTGAATGGGACCCTCTGTGCTTCCTGGACTTGTGTGACTTTTTCTCTTCTCTAATTAGGGACGTTTTCCATCATTACTTTTTCAAACAGGTTCTCTATCCTTTGCTCCTCCTCTTCTCCTTCTAGTACCCCTATTATATGGATATTATTACGTTTCAGGTTGTCCTGCATTTCCCTAAATGCCTCTTCATTCTTTTTGAGTCTTTTTTCATTTTCTTGCTCTTTCTGGGAGCTTTTTTCTACCTTGTCCTCCAGCTCGCTGATTTGATCCTCTGCTTCATCAAGACTTCTTTTGATTCCTTCTACTGTGTTTTTCAATTCAGAAATTGTATTCTTCATTTCCTCTTGTCTCTTAAGATAGTTTCTATGTCCTTTTTCATGCTGATATAGTTTGCAGTAAATTCCTCGTAGTTCCCTGTAGTTCCCTGTAGTTTTTGGCAATTCTCTCTGAGCTCACTGAGCTCACTGAGCTTCCTTAGAACCGTTGTTTTGAACTCAGTGTCTGATAATTTACCTGCCTTTGTTTCATTTAGTTCTCTTTCTGGGGATTCCTCCTTTCCCTTTGACTGGGATGTGTTTCTTTGTCTTCCCATTATTTGTGAGACTCTTCTTTCTTACTTCTACTTCTTATATTGATCTGTCTTGATTTCCTGACTTTGTGGTGTGAACTTCTATGGTAGGAGACTGCTGTTTTTTCTTTCTGGATCTGCCTCTGATGATGTCAGATGTTGACCCCTCCTGACCTTAGTCTGTTCGAGACCTCCAGGAAGAGGAAGCTACTGTCTGTGGCAATCTCCTTCAGCTGTTTTCTAATCACTCTGCACTTGACAGGCTGGCTTAGACACCACAGGGCAGGGTAGAGTCCCTCCTGGGGGCAGGGCTATTGTATCCTCTCAGGATGTTGCCACTCATAAGAGTGGTCTGCCTGAGCCAGATGGCTGCTGCCTCCTGGGGGAGGAGTCAACACTGGGATCTCGCTGGCTACTCTCTCAGTTCTCTCCCCAAAGCCTCCTTTCCCAGTCTCTACGATGTTGCTAGCCTACTCTGACCCCGCCTTTGCTGGAGACCAGGGTATGGGGCTGCAAATAAAAATTTATGTGTTGGCCCTTTAAATGGCTCTTTGTGTCTTCAGCTACCTGTCTTTGGCAGAGAGCAAGCTTGCTGATTTTCACAGCTGGGTGTAATCTGTGTACTTTTTGGGGGGCTCTGGTCCTATAGGCTGGAGGTCCCTGCTTATGGTTTAGACCCTGCTCTTCTCAGGGGGATCTAACTGGCTGTTTCAATATCCTTCTGGTGCTGCTGCCTGTGGGTGCCCCACCTGCCTTCTCAAGTCTCTACCACACTTATTACCTGTTTGGTTGTGGTAAAGCTGATTTTTCTGCCTGTCCAAAGTTATGAGGCTCCTTTCTCGCTATTGCTCAGTTGTTCCAGGTGATTTCTCCACAATTTAGTTGTAATTCCAGATTGGTCCTGGGAGGAGGTCAGTGTGACTTCCTCACTCCTCTGCCATCTTGATCTCAAATAAAATTTAAAGTCCAGTTCCTAACAATTGCATTAGCCACATTTCAAGTGTTCAATAATCATACATGGTTAATGGTTACTTTAAAGTTAGAGCACGATAGACCATTTCCATCATTCCAGAAAGTTCTGCTATACATTGCTGGTTTAGATAGAAAACAGACCTGAGTATATATTATACTCTTAAATTTAAGTTCTTCTACTGATCATGGGGTATTTAAATTTTAGTTGCTGGTGTTTCTCAGCATTGTTGACTTAAAATAGGAAAGCACTTCTACATAACCAAATAGAAACATTTTTTACTGAATGTAGTGCAGGGTGATAGGCCTTTGTGAACCATAAATTCCTGTCCTTATGGAACACCAGGGAAGTACGCTTAATCACAGAGGGCAGAGGAAGCCTGTTAATTTCTCTTTCTTTCCGGGTCATTTCCATTTTGGGTTTAGCAACAAGAAATAATTTATTGAATATTTAGAAAGGATGGAGTAAGCTATTTGCAGCTCAGAATATCCGGTGAGAAGTGATACAGTCTCTGTTGTGGGACCTAATCAGAACATAGATTTTTAAATACCTAGATCTGTCTTTAATCTGCTGGTGGTAGTAAATGCTCAGTATTTAGTCTTGGGTCCTGTTTTTGTCAAGTGTTGAGAAAAATGTATTACTTCTTTAATTTCCTGAACTTTAAGAGACCTTCCTTACAGAAGTCAGAGCTTCATGATCTTGAGAAACACCAGTAAATGAGTTAGCCTTGTTTAATATTTTCCCCCAAAAGTCAGCACTGAAGAAGTCAGAAATCATTTATTTAAAAAAACAATTAGTCCATTTAAAACTTTTTCATCAAATGTTTGTGAATTACTATAATGACGTGTCATCTCACTGATAGGATGTACATGAGACCTGTTTTAGAGGAACTTCTTCAAGTAATAGAAATTATACAGTGATATCATCCAAACAAAACTCCCAGATGCTTAAACAGAAACAACTGCCTCAAAATTGGAACTCTTTCCAGTGATATAAACATGATAGTTTGAGCAGTAAAATAATAAAGGAAATATGGTAAACAAAATTTAATAATTTTTATATTCATTAATTCACTGTTTCGGTTTAGTCAATAATTATTTATTTGCTAGGCACTGACCTAAGTGCTGAAGATATAACATATGTGGCCTGAAGAATTTGCTGCCTAGTCAAGTACATTTTATAAATATGTGAATATATTAAAATACAGCCAGTAGAAATGTGCTTGAGAAACACAGGACAAAAACAAGCTCTGTCTGGGTGTGTTGAAGAATGCTCACAAAGGAAGTGAGTTACGACTGCTGAGCCCAGAATGATTAAGAACTCCATGTGAAGACTAATAGGAGACTGCTTGGGAAAATACAAATGATTAAGTGTGATGGAAGACAGAGTCCATGAAAGACTCGAAACAAGAGATGAGGCCCTCCCGTCTCAACACTGTCCTGCTCTTTTATTGTTTATGCTAGGTTTCTTCATACCCAGTTCAACTAAATCATTGACTTTCACACTGAAAATATTTCAGCACACTCTCTCATATTCTAAACATTTCCCGGTAGTTTCTAGTTTGGCACTTCCACACACTTAAGCTATGAAATCTGAATCTTGTAAAACATCACTTGAATTGTACTCCAGACATACATATAAAAGTGGCTAGAGTTTATGTTTCTTGACCTTCCCTCATCAATCATTCAAGAAGAACATGGAATTTTATATAAGTACATCTTAAGTGAATCCTTCTTAAGACAAATTTCCGTTATTTATTTCAAATGTCCTCCTCCTCTTTATAAACTCAGTTTATAGATTTTCTGATCTTGTGATGCATTTGACCTGGTTAATATCTTACAAAAAGTTATCATTGAAGTCTGTTGCACCAAACCTTTGAGAAAGTCCGATACTAATATTTTATGACTCTAAGCTAAATTATGTGTTATCATTATTCCCCATGGAACCAGACTTTTAAAAGAATTTTCTTCATTTTATTAAATCATGGAAAAGTTTTTAACTCTAAAAAGAAATGATTTTAAATGGCTTAAAGTTTGGGGCTTTATCCTCCCTTTGACAGATGGACACACCTCTTTTTTGTTCTCTGTGTTTTTTATTACAGAAGCTGGTTATATATTCTTGTATCTAGAAACGACCAGCAGTTTTCAGAGCTTCCCATTTTACTGTTAGCCATCAGGGACAGAACAGGAACTATGTCCGCCCCCTGCTCACACAGAACATCATATCCTAATAGCAAGCAACCCAAACTTGCCTTCAAACACCTCCCAAGAGGCATCTGAAAGCACGTCATTTAGAAACTCTGCATCCTGTTTAAGTAATTAATACCTCAATCAAATTTGTGCTAACTTTGCTTTTGTCAGAAAAATTCATTAATTTTCCAATTCCATGATCTATCAAGCAAAAGTCTTGTTTAATTAAATATTTTTTAACTTTTATGAACTGGAAAGTGCAGCAAAAGCATAATGGTTACAGAAACATCCATTTCTTAACTGCCTGCTTTGAAGATGAACTTGGGTTGATAATTCTACTTACTGTTAGCATGGTGGCTTTCTGAAGTGCATTAGAGACCTT